TATTTATTTCTAATCCATCTTCATCGTGTCACTCGTCGTATTTGTTCATAAATATTTTCAGTATACGATAATTTCGTTATACATTGATTGAACTACCTCGTGGAACAAGTAGACGGACTATTTATGGGCAGTTGCAGAGTTATTTCCCAACGGAGTGTCCACAACTGCAACCTGAGCTGCCAATGCAGGAATCATACAAAGAAAACAAACAATCCCATGGTTAGTGAGATAAATTGGACATAATACTATTCGCTTTTAGGTCCGCAGCCCACAGTNCCACAGTAGAATTACGTAAGGGCAAATTTTGTGACATCGTTGGCCCTGGAAACCCCACCAGCCCACAAACCAGTCAGACCTGCACCCGTATGTATTGACATATAATGTGATTATAATAACATCTCTTATGAGGGATGTCGATAGGAAATATTGTTAATCACATATATCCGGAGAAATGTGCTACGACGTCATTATTTGCCTTGAGTGATTCCTTAAACAGTAAGTTGTGGTATGTAGGTCAAGATGTGTTCAATGTTGTTGCTAGATCAACAGTGATCTGAGAGTATGCAAACTGTTTTACGCTACATATGTTCAGCTCATTTACCAGGTACATAACGTAAGGTGTACAAACGCAGTATATTGTCTTGCCTTGTGTAATTTGAGATGCTTACGGCACTGCTGAAAACCGCCCCAGTTTGGTTGATATATGCCGCGCTTTTCCGATTGAGGCTAAACTGAGGAATTTGCGATAGAATCCATCATCTTGTACTGTAATTCTCTTCACCCCACTGCCACCGAACACACGCTATAGGCCCGCCGTTCTTTGATTAAGAACTGCGGGCACCCCTCCGGCAGCAGAATAAAGCCTGGTCCAGGTACCGTGCAACAGGCACAAGATGAAAGGAATACTGAGGTATTCGGAATCATTGTACTGCATTGAAAAAATGCAAGAAAACCAGATTCAAGGAACAACTCGCATCGGACTCACCAAAGTAATTGTATGCCTACCTCAGGCGAAGAATCAGAGCAAGGCCTAGTCTCCCAACTCCCGACAAAGACGGGGAACTAGCCGAAAAAGATGAAGACAACGCGGAGATGATGACATCATATTATGCCCCAATGTATACCTCAGACTCCAACGCATTGGCACATCCAATGGACACTGTCACTGCCATGAACTGGGCTCCATTTACCATCGGAGAGGTGGCCCTGGAGCTGCATCGGCTAAAGATTCACCAATCACCTGGACCTGATGGTGTGCACCCGCTTATCCTGAGGGAGCTGGCAGATGAACTTGCACTGCCACTGTGCAGCCTGTTGAATTTGTCAATCACTCAAGGGCGTTTACCGCAGCAGTGGAATGATGCTGATATTGTTTCACTACCCAGGGGTGGGGATAGGAGTGACCCTGGGAACTACCGACCAGTCAGCAATACTAGTGTTGTGGGTAAAGTAATGGAGCGACTGGTGGGTGCACGGCTTTGACAGCATTTGGTGTGCCACGGTCACCTGTGCCACCAACAACAAGGTTTATAGCCGGGTCACTCATGCCTCTAAAACCTCCTACTGGCCCGTGAATGCTGGACCGAGAACAGCGCCAAAGGACACAAATTGGACATTATCTTCGTGAACTTCAGCAAGGCCTTCGGCAAGGTGCAAGACGATCGCCTTCAGCGAAAGCCATCCAACCTGGGTGTAGGTGTGGTCATTCTGAATAGGATGCGATACTTCGTCATCGACCGGAAATTCTGCGTCTGTGTAGGCAAATCGCTATATGCGTGGTATTCCGCTCCCACTGGAGTCCCCCAAGGCTCGGTTCTTGATCCATTGCCCTTTATGGTTTATGTCAAAGTCAAAGTCAAAGTTTTATTACGGAAAATACAAGTGGTTTCTTTTCTTATACCACAGGGTTTAGCACAGATGAATCGATTCGCAGTTCATACAAAGTAGATGAATGTCACAACTTGTCCTTGTTTCGTGCACTTCTACGGATGTTGAAATTTAAGACTTTTCGAAGCTTTATCCAGCTTCTGCTTGAATGAATCAATTGTGGGTGCAGAAACAATCGATGGTGGTAGAGAATTACAAGTGATGCACACCCTGAGGGCAAATGAATGACGCCGGTATTCTATTCGGCATTTTTGGAGCACTACTTTGAATGGCTGCCCCCTCAAATGTGTGCTGTAGGACAAGGAAAAGAGTGGACGACATGGACTTCGCATTATTTGACATACCAAAATCAAGTTCCCTCGAATGCGAAGGTACTGTATTGACTACAGTTGCGGTGATTCTAAACTTTCCACATAACTCTTGGAATGCAGTCCTCTGGCCATTTTGGTTACCATTCTTTGTGGACGTCCCAGAATCTTCCCATTACAACCATGGATTCCATGATCGAATGGCGTGCTCTATGTGGGGTCGAATGTAGGCTGATAACAATCGTAAGAACAGCGTAGGTTCAAATTTGCCAGATACTCAGTTTAGCAAACCAACATGTTTTACGGCGTTAGACGATGCCCAGGAGCAGTTTAAAGAACTCCGTAGGTCGTCTTGAACAATGACGCCAAGATCCTTCTCATTCGAGACATACGAAAGTTGTTGATCTCCCAGAAAATACGGAAACCGACCTTTGCATCGAAGGGATACGACCGTACATTCAGATGAATTAAATTCCATGTTGTTTTCGATCGACCATTGATAGGCACCGTTAGGTGGTTTTTGGAGTTTTAGCGAGTCCTCTGGTTTTGTCCTCGTTTTCCATATTTTTGCATTGTCTGCAAACACTATTGTTTATGGCCCTAGAATTCCCGTTAGGTCGTTGATAAAAACAAGAGAAGTTGAGGGTCCAGCACGGATCCCTGTTGAAATCCTCGTGCTATGCTGATGGGATCAGAAAGTGATCCAGAAACCCGAACTGCCATAGTGCGTTGTCGAAGAAATTCATCTACCCAGCCCAGTACAAGTCCCCGAATTCCGTAGCTGTATAGTTTCCTCATTAGTATTTTACTCCGTCGAATGCTTTGGAGAAGGTACACGACGTCCATTGCATCACCGTTATCCGCTGCTTTTGTCCACTCTTCTCGGGTCAGAAGCAGGTTGGTGACACTCGATCGCCTGCGACGAAACCCATGTTCGGCAGGGAATAACACATTGTATTTTTTCAAGTGATCCAACGCAGTGTCTGCAACAATGGATTCCATGACCTTGGATAATACGGGGAGAAGAGTAACGGGGTGGTAGTTAGTTGGGTCTCTATGACAACCACCCTTATATATCGGAGAAATTCTCCCTTGTTTCCATGTCTTGTTGCACATTTGTTGGAATAGTTTGCTTAGTGGTTGAGCTGAGTTACTTGGCAGGTTGATAAGGGTTTGTGAGTGGATATTATCTACACCTGGAGACGAGTTTCTTTTCAAACACTGCAATTTTATTGCTATGTTTTCTGGGAAAATATCAATTGTGATGGGCGTTCAATATGATATATCCACATGTAAAGCAGGCAGTCGTAGTCCGGTGTTCTCAGCTGCGGTGAACACTTGAGCGTACTGTCCTATTAGCAATCCGACTGCCTCCTTTGTAGTGACTGAAACACATTTCGTCACTCTTAGCGCTGGAATACCAGACTGAACTTTTCTGGTGGCATTTAGGTGTTTGTACAACTGCTTGAGATTTGACATGAACTTGCGCATGAGCATTTCTTGGTTTATTAACTTGTCTTTTCGCGTCAACCTGGTGCAGTGGTTTCAAGGTTGATAGTAGATATATCAAGAGTTGTTGCAAGGAGATGGTTTATAAGTTCTCCATGAGATATTCTTCTGCAAAATCTGCTTTTTATGCCCGACTTCAACTCGCTGATCTTTGACCGGTTGGGTAGGTGATATGGTTGGTCTTCGTCGCGCCTTTCACCATTTCCGGCAGGTGGTTTTAAATTCTTCCCAGGATATCAAAGAATCACACTGTTTGTTGTGAAATTTTCATTGGAAATCTCTCGGCAAAATTTTAAGTTTGGTGTAGTCCAAAAACATACAGGAGCTAACCGTAGAATTGCGCGGTACGGATGCATAGCAAATGTAGTCAAACGTCAACACAACATGATCACTACGCCCTAATGGAGTTGTAGTGGAAATCATTTCCACCATCATTTTTCTCGTTAGCTAACACCAAATCCAGAACCGACAGGGACTGGTTGTCTCCAAACCCCGTGGGCTCCTTCACAAAATTGTAAAGTGGATAGGATTCCATAAGTTGTGCGAGTTTCCTCTCAAACGTTTGTAGAGAGGTCGTTGATTTAGCTAGGTTGGGGCAATTGAAGTCATTGATGATGAGAGCATGTGTGAATTTCGCTGACAGAATTTGATACATGGTTTGAAATAGTGTCTCATTGGCTGAGTCTGTGGATGAGAGAAAGCGGTATCACGTTGCGCTAGTCGCACTTTGCACCACAATGAGTCGGAAGCCGCAGCAGGATATTCAATTATTTTGCATTGTAGTTTGCTGCTAAAGTAGAGTAACACCTTACCACCTCTTGTAGGTCGACCGCGTCTATGCAGCGTGGTGCCGGGTAAGCTTAATTCTGAGTCCAGAATGTCGGTTGTCAGCCAGGTTTCGGTCACTGCCATAATGTTCCATTAACCAGTTTGACAACGCAGTTCTACCTCTGAAAATATGCTGAGGAAATCTCGGGAGTTAGTATAGAAACAATGCAGTTGGTGGCGGAGCAGAAACTCGTCGGGGAGCAGAGGGTTGATGAGTCGACCGTGTGAAGGACCTACTTCGTCAACTGTGCAGCCCATCCTTCGTGTATGCGGATGATAACAAAATGTGGCGGATAAATGAGGATCCGAATGATCGAAGTTCTCTTTGCGCGGATTTGAACAACCTGACTCAGAGGGCGGACACCTAGGCTCTTCCAGTCATCACCGCAAAGTGTGCTCATCTGCACTTGGGGCGTTCTGACTAAGAGATAGTCTACAACTTCCAGAGAACCACATTGCGCAGAACATCGTACGAAAGAGACCTGAGAGTAACAGTTGAGTCATCACGAAGGAGCCGTGAAAACACCGATCGGGTCTGTGCCAGCGCATGATGCATTCTGGAGCCTATTTGGTGATCTTTCAACCGGCCCAAGATGGACGCTTCCAGGCTGCTGTACGCTTCCTATGTTAGACCAGGACTTGAGAATGGTGGTGCGACAACATATCGTTACACGGCCGGTGAACTGGCTAAGTTAGAGCGTGTACAACGTGCTGCCACAAGATTCGTTGTGGAACTGCGCTGGATCAGCAATGACTGTCGTCTACAGGCTACTGTTCTGTTCCCAGGTGCGTTTTGGCGCCTCAAGGGAGATCTAATTTTTCTGAGGAAGATCCTGATAAGCAATATGGGCCCGGATCTTCAATAGTACTTCCCTTTACGGACGGAGGACCACACGCTGGGGAACTCTCTCACGTTGGGGAAACATCAGTCAGTTTGTCTTCCGTTAGTCTAATGACTCTTCCTGAGGTAAACAACACTCCGGAATTTCCTTCCGGCGACCGTGGTGGACTAGACAGACGCCGCTTTCAAACGGCTTTTAGATGAACATCTGAAGGGGCTATGGAGGAACGAACACTTGTGATCAAACCTTCGATCCAGTGGTTATTGGGCTAACACGGGCACCCTGCCCTCTACCCTCAATACTGAAAACTGAAGACTAAATACACACAAAATTGGATCCCAAATTTCGACATTTGAAAGTTTAGTAGGTGTTTCTTTAGTGAAGGAATGAACGGAATTACGATATTGTAAAAGGAATTATCCACAATCGATATGGAAACCTAGAAAAACTACAGATTCACGAACTAGTTTGCACTTAGCGGTAATAAAGGTAATATGGTGTTGCCGCAGACGTTACCAAAGTGTGCGTGAGTGCACTTCGTGTTCGTCAGCGTCCTTGCTGGCGACAAGTATGTCACTAAATACGGAAAAACGAAATCTAATCCACGAAGGACTTCAACGTTAGAACGTTGAGTCGTCCGTGCAGCTTTGCGTAGTCCAAATGGCATTTATAGAGATTCGAATGGTCCAAACAAGGTGGTGACGGATAGATAGGTATCTAGTTACAAGCCCTAACCGAAGAAAGTTTACTAAGATCGACTTACCCTTAAGACTAACCTTTAAATCTTGGATGTGCGGGATCGGATAGCGATCCGGGACGGTGGATCTATTGAGTCCATGGTAATCCCCACATAAGCACTATTCTGCGGTGTTCTTAGGCACCATGTGGAGTGTAGAGGCTCACCAAATTTACGAAAGGTGTATTATACCCGCCTTGAGCATTGCGTCGAACTCTCCTTTGGTTAAAGCTAACTTATCCGGAGCTCAACGAAGTGCACGGCACTGTACGAGTAGGTCGCGTGTGACGATCGTATGAGTAACCGGAGTGGTGACCGGGAAGAAACTTGTAGAAATTGGTTGAGAGAAACCTTCTAACAAGTGTTTCAACGCAAAATGTACACCGTTGTTTAAGACGGGGCTCATTGCCACAGCGTCAGTTGCCAAACCTTTGACAGAGTTAGTGCTGTTAAGGAGAAGGCGTTTGCCTGTGTAGACAGTGGGGTTGTGATCTGCTGGGGAATCCATTCGAGGAATCGGAAAAGGGACTTCAGAAGTCAAGAATGGCCACTCAATCGCTTTGGATGGGTTAAAATATATAGTGAGGGTCCTGATAACAAATGCACGTATAATAAAATCGTTGGCATCAGTCGATTTTAGTGCTTGAGCTGGGAGCCTAACTTCAATGGAGGAAGCAGGACTGACGCTTACTTACACACCGGTATCCACGAGGAAATACACACCACTAATGGAGTCCATAACGTGTAAAATTTAGCTCCTAGTACGCGTGCTAACGGATGATACCGTAATCAGCCGTCGGCTTAGTCTTTTCCCAAAATGGGTTGACCTTTCCACAAGCATGGGTGGATGCGTTTAGCAGCATCTTTACCGAAACGTACGTGGAACCAACAGTACTTTTAACGTTTGTTGGGTGACTTGGGCCTGCAGTGATTGTTCGATCGCTATTTACCACTGAAACGTGCGTCCCCAGACCTTTTGTTCAAGCTGAAGTCGTTTAGTTTCTAGGTAAAGGCCTGGAAGAGGACGTCGGCAGACGTGGCTGGAGGGATGGCGGGGGTAACCGTGGTGCCCGTGGGTTGATGGTATTGCATGGTATGATCTGCCATAACCGACAAAAGCCCAATGGGCGTATCTTACACTGCCACAAGAATAAATTGAACGCCTTGTCGTAACTTCCGTCACCAAAGTTCTCAAAAGAATGCCTCATCGTGTGGGATGTTGCCCATTTCGTTGCACATAAGCCTCCAAAGCCGTAAAGGTTTACGGTCACCCAAAGGCATGTCCTGGAGAACGCGTCAGATAAGTTCTTTGTTAGAGCTTCCTGTGAGTTCTAGTATAGCGTTGAAAGGTACATCATCGGGAGGTTCTAAAACTAAATACAAAACCTCGACTGCCAGGTGATCTGGCAACAGAGAAACGACATGGTGGAACTTGGGCTTGAAGACTCAATGTTCCTAGTCTCACACTGTGATTTGAGGACTGCAAACCACACCCTAGGGTTAGATGCCCAAGAAAAGAGGGGTTGGAAAGTGGTGACTATCAAGGGAGAATGCCCATTGGATAAACTTAAGAAATCCATGGATAGAAAGCACTGAATAATTACACAGAAAATATACTATCCCGAATAACCCTGTCCAAAAATATAGAGTTTGAAAAGCAATACCGATGAAGTGAAATTACCAAAAAATCGCTACAATTTTCTAAACGAATAGAAAATGGTTCAAAAGTTCCAAAGATATAAAACGGACTCATCAAAATCTGTTGATTTCAAAATGAAATGAGGCAATTGAATGTGGACTCACCAATTTACTGACTAGGCGGTTGCTGTTGTTCGTCAGAAGCTGTCATTAATGTTTACTGATGTTCTTCCTGGACACACGTTCCGGGAGAAAACAGAACCAAGGATAGGGATTGTAGAAACGTTATACTCTGAAACTTCCGAAATGTTGGAAGTAAGTTTGGCTATGCGTGGGCTGTTATTTTAGCAACGAGAGCGGAAACCTGAAAGTAAATCTGATCAATGCAAAAAAGACGTGTGATACAGAGCTCACCGTGGGGAATTGTGGCGGTGCGGTGCACTTGATTGTGCCCAGCAGAGAAGGGTCTTTATGTTAGAAGGAAAAGATCACCGGTGGTATAGCTTCTGTACCGATCGAGATGCTATTTTGCTATTTGCTATATAAACTTTGATGAGTTTGATAAGTCTGCCACGGTTAAGTGACCATGTTCTGAAAGCCTCAATTATACAGAGTTAGCTGGAAACTGAGCCCGTTCTGATGCTGAAAGTGCTTCTGGTCCGTGATTTGATGATCACGTCCAGCTTCAATGGATCTATCAGGAAACTTAGAGAAAAGCAAGAGGAAAGAAGAGGAAACTACCGTTGCGAAACTGTGGTGATTACTCATGAACTATGAACTTTTTGTTTTATTGAACATGATATCCTTGTACTTTCCGACTTTCCGCTTATTACACTTACATTCCGTCGCTGAGTTTTGTCTTATGATTTCATTTTGAGTCCTCGTTCTGGGTTGGACTATAACTGACCTTGACCTTGACCGCGCATGGTATCAATTTTCGCGGCGTGTGGTGAAACTCAAGGAAATCTTCTTCAATGCCTACGAAACAGACCACGGTGGATCCAGGTCTAGCTAAAATCGACTGGTACTAGTCTAAGGGTCAGCTAAGGGTGCCACGAAGGTGAGCCCAGGCGTTAGTTGTTGCCTTCTGTGAGGAAACTCGGTGAGTCCAGCGTCCGCGTTAACTTTGGCTTGTGGTTGGTGTTCCTAACCAGTGCATGCTCTTGACTCTCTTTTCTTCCATTATACATCTTTCTCATTTTTCTATCATATTAATCCCAGGATATATATCTATAACTATATCTGTTTACCTAAGGCTCTCTAATTCTACTGTAATCATCAGAACCTACCACCCGGACGCAACAGGTG